AGCAGGATGGGTGTTCCACTGGAAAGCCCAAACGGTGCAACTGAGCTAATTCAGAAAGTTGTTGTTTGGCTAATAACTCCTTCCACTCTCTCTTCCACTTTTGCTGTGCGGTGAGGCAGGAAGCTGGTTTTGGGACTCCAGGCAGAAGTCAGTGAGCGGGCAACAGCCCTTGTTCTAATTGACAGATGAGTGTGTTAGCACCAAGCTCCCCCGCGCTCAGTTCCCTTCCTGACTCCTAACCACACTTAAAGACAAAATTCCCTCACTCTTTAGGTTAGGGCTGGGAAAATTTCTGCCACCAGTGTTAAATAGTTGGTAAATTCAGGAGGAAATGCTGCTTCATGCAACAAGGAGTTAACCTTTGGAATTGCTCTGACAGTTTGTTGAGTCAAATATTATAACTGGATTTGAAAATATCCTGATCGTTTTACAACCTTTAATAATGTTTGTACTTCTGCACCAAGATAAGGGTCGCCAGATTGCTCCGAGACATGACCAGATCCCCTTAGAGAGATGAGGGAAGAATTCTCTTCCTTTCTTTCCCTGCCTTTTTGTGATTATCACTGCTCAGCTTGTTTCTGTAAAGCGCAGGAATAACCTGCGGCCAGAGTAGCATGGCCTGAAGCGCTGAGTACACCATGTGACCAGTTCCCCAGAACCCCACTTTGGGTATGAGAATGATCTCTGCGTTATGGGACTTCAGGAGATGCTGAGGTCTGCTTGTTTTGGAAATTGTTTGCCTCTGAGACAGAGCAGTGCAGGGTTGTGACTTAGGGGAAAGAAGTACTATACCTGTGCCCTCAGGAGCAGAGAGCAGGGTTTGAGCCTGGTGCTAACGTTCACCTGGATGGTCCTCAAGAGACCTGTGGAGTTCAGCTCTCTCCCCAGGTGGGCAGTGACCTCCTGGTGAGTGAAGGAGTGTGGACGTGTCTTTTCCCCTCCCAAAAGGAAAACAGTTGATTTTTTGCTTTTGTTCCTCCCCTTTCACTGTTGCTGGCACAGGGTTATGAGAGTCGGGTGGTGGCTCTTGGAGGGTGCTATTTCACAGTGACCTTCCCACAGCCATGGCCGAAGGGGCTCCCTGTAAGGCGATATCCCTAGGGCGAGTTGTATTCTTGTCCCCCTAAGGCCTTTCTCTTCTCAGATGTTAACCAGTGCTTTGTGGGATCAGGGCTCAAACCTCCTTTGCAGCCAAGCGGCCCTGGGGCCTGGCCTCGGCCAACACCTGCCCATGAGAGGAGGTCCCCGGTGCTCAGTCTGATGGGGCCTTCTCCCATTAGCAGGTCACCGCAAGGAGTGGACTCTACCATGACAGCAGGGGCACCGCAAAATGCAAGCCCCAGAACTGCGGTGCCTGCTCCGCTACACAGCAAAATAGGTCGTGCATCAGTAAATGAAAAAGGACAGATGGTGCCTGCTAATACAGCTTAGTTTATGGCCTACAGGATTAACCCACTAGTTGTCATGCCTGCAGAAGATAGAAAATGGGTGGGCCTGGTGGAGGAAATGCGTGGTGCACCCAGCCCCACCTGTGTTTGTAGGATGCACCAGCTGGAAAGGATGTCAGAGATGCTGCGAGGTTTTGAGAGGCTGCTGAAGGGCTGCCAGTGTCTCTGTTTGGGTCTTGCCACTAGAACTAGTGCCAGCACCAAACCTTCCCACCTAGCTCTGGTTGCCACACTCTCCCTGCAAACAGCAGCGCCACAGGCAGACAGCCACTGAGCCACGCAGGGACCCTCAGCACAGGCAGGGACAGCATTTGTGGACTACACACGGATGATCTCTGTGCAGGAGAAGCCCACAGTTTCCTGTCCTGTGCCAGCAGGGGGCCAGCCTCCAGTTCAGCCTTTTGAATTCCCAAGCATCCACATGTCTGCAGGAGTCAGACAGAAAGCTGAGGAAGAAGCCTCAGGTCTTTTCAATGCCTTCTCTGTGACACACTGTTCTCCTTTCCTGGAAATCAGGCCAGTGCCTCACTCTGTTCTCATTGCAGAAGTCAAGCTCTGTACCAGTGCTCTAGCTTCTCTCCACCTGCTGTCTGAGGGCAGAGCAAACCCTTCCCCAGTCCTTCATGAACGGTCCTCCTGAAGATGTCACGTTGGTTCTTTTTGCCTCTCCTGTGGCCGCGTTTGGTCACATCCTGAAAGATGCTGAGTGCCCTGAGCAACAGCTGCCATCGGGGAGAGAGGAGACACTCCAGAGCTGGCACTGGACTCCTGTGCCATCACACCACCTCTGCGTCTCTCTTGTGCTTGCCGGTGGCACATGACTCTCCCCAGAGAGTGCCTGACCACCACCGTCTCAGCACACAGTGTGCCCTGGACAGGCAGTTGCCTCCAGCTGTCAGAGGTGTTTGTCACCCCCATCTTCTTCTAGCCACAACCAGCTGTCACAGGCACTGAAGTTTTCTCCAGTGACTAATTTGCTTGTGTTTATACCAACACCAAATTGTCTGTTTAACAGCTCTGGTGAGGAGGCAGTCTGGCTGCTCCCTCTTTTTGAAGGGATCAGACCAGCACTTTCCTGATAGCAGCACCCCACTGTGCTAAAACTTCTCAGTTATAAATCCCACATGACAAGGGACAGCAGGCCACCAGTAAGAGTGAACTGAGAGTGGGGATCATTGTTACTTCTGTCCCCAAAGCTGTACAGTGAATGGGCAGGACAGCAGGCGTACAAACAAATCCAAACAGCCTGGACTTTTACCACAGAAGGAAATGCTTCTTTTGTAGAGGGGAAAAGCAATGTCAGACTACTATTCCAAGTAGTTGCTTAACGCTCCCTACCTTTATGTCGCTGCTGAAGTAGACGGCAGTTATCTGGGAGTCCTTTTTCAGGACGTATCAGCAACGGTGCCAAGCCCACGGCCTGCCTGGCTGGCTGAGGCCCTAGGGGAGACAGAATGGTGGGCTATGTAAGCATTTGAGCCTCTAAGTTCTTCCCCCTCAAAATCTCCCCACTTCCCACCTCTTTTATCAGCTGCTGACAAGACTTGCAACATGCGTAGGTGGCTCCCAAGCTTACAAGATGATTCCCCGCTCCCCCTATTGCCACCCATGAGAGGATTCAGGATTTCGAGGAGGGGGAGTACATTCCTCTGTCTGCAAGCCTGTTTTGCAAAGGACACACAAGGCTTTCACAGTGCTCCATGTGGCAAGTCTCTCCCAGGATTTCACATGACAGCATATTCCATAGAAAGTCACAGGAGCGAGTGGGAAGATCGTTGTGCTCTGTGTGTGGGTGTTAGGAGGGAGCAGAGTGGGATGGGGAGAGGAGGTGTAACCACAAAGTAAAGCAGAACAATCATCTTGGAAGAGCCTTGAATTTCTGATCCTAGGGCTCCCATCTCCTGCCTTTTGTTCTTCATTTAAAAGAACGTCAATCCTTGTTAAAGCCAGCAGAGAAAAAGGGAATAAAACAGAACCATCTCTTCCTTCCCTGTACATATCTCATGGGACCACAAGAAGCAAACAGAACACGAACTAACTAGATCAATGCTGAAAGTGTGTGCAGAGTTGCACACTGGGGAGATCTCTCCCCAGCCGCTGGTGTCTTCCCTGGAGAAAAATGAGTGGCTGTTAATGACATCTCCACCTGAGAAATGATCAGAGTGCATGTCATTACAAACCAGTGTTTCCCCAGGGCTCTGCAGAAAATGACCCCAGTGAGCCTCAGTTCTTGAATACACAGCTGCTACCTCGTGTATGCAAAGCATCCCTCACCACACATCTCAAAGCTCTCACGGCTAAGCTTTGCTGAACCCCTCTCAACAGACCAAGAACGCCATCCCTGCTTTGCACGTGGGAGAAATGGGGCACACAGAGGAGGAATCAGGGAGGCCAATATATTCTTGGCACAGCTGCTCAGAACAGGGAGCCTGGATGAGATGCTCCCACTGCATCTCAGAGAGGTTTAAAACTACCTTTGAGCTGCTTGGGTCTGTGGCATCCTTTTGCCATCATCCAGAGCGTGAGATTACAGCAACCTCTCAGGTTTGTCTGCTGGGTGTCACAGAGCACACCTGGCTGTACCCCATGACGGGGTTTGTAGGTGGGTCCTCAGGAGACAGCCCTTTGAGCTGTCACTTGCATTTTGGCACTGGTGAATCCCGATGCATCTAGACCCCTTTAACAGCACCAGCTGTCTCACCCAAGCAGGATCAAAGACTTCAGCCTGCTCAGATAGACGGGAACTGAATCATGCTGGGGTACCCTGTTCGGCAACACAGAAGAACTCTTCAATCCACGCTCCCAGTTTAAAGCTACTCCCCTCTTTCCCTCATTTTACCTTGTCTGTGACTATTTCAGAAACCAGCAAGATGAGCTGGATTTTCTCTAAACTCCGTCTGTTCTGCAATGCACCCTGTGACCCATGAATAATTGCCCATCCCTGCTTGGGTAAGGAGGGAGAAACCCTGAGAAGACCTATGCACTTCTAGAGAAAACAGTCTGCTCCAGGAAGAGGTTCACACTTCACTGTCAAAATGACCTGGAGGTTTCAGGCAGACTGAATCTTTGTGTGCCCTGAGATAGCTCTTTCAACATCCCTCTGTATCCTGCAGGCCAGCGATGAGAGCAACAGGCAGCTACTTACCATACCTGTGATATCTGGGTAACCAGGAAAGGGGGGGCAGGTGAAGGAGATGTGGCAAGAGCTGGAGTTTCTATTTTACCAGCCGCAAACCTAAGTCGGCGCGCCTGTCTGCCAGTGCCCCACCGCAGCAATATTCCCAGCCTCGGCACACCCCACTCCCTCCATGCAAATGCTCCTAGTCTGAGAGCAGAGTTTTGTAATCCCTTCCCGGCAGCCAGCCTCTGCTTTCACTCTCTGAATTACAAAGTTGAG